TTTAACAGAGAGGGGTGTGGCCTTTCCAAATTCTGTCCAATCAGTGTGATTTCCCACAGGTGGCCTCCAATCAGGGTGTAGGAACATCTCAGCAACCAGCAGGAGAAGCGGGCGGCACCTGAGCGTGTTCCTGCACAGGGTCTGAAGACTTCTTACGATGGGAGGTTCCAGTTTTTTCATTTTGAATGAATTCACCGACATTTCTATGATTCTGTTGTCAGGTTGTCATGATGGGGCGCCGAGCGAAAGATTCCTGAGGAAAGAACGAATCTAAACATCTGTAGTAACCGGCGGCAACATCACAGCATTGAGAGCAGTGAGGGGTCTGAATACTTCCGGAATGCTGCGTGTATCTACACTCACCGGTCCCTTCATGAGGTCCACCTGTTCCATGTCTTGGTTACACAAATGACTAATCAGCCAATCACATGGCAGCAACTCAATGCATTTAGGCATCTAGACGTGGTGAAGACGACTTGCTGAAGTTCAAATTGAGCATCAGAATGGGGAAGAAAGGGGATTTAAGTGTCTTTGAACCTGGCATGGTTGTTGGTGCCAGATGGGCTGATTAAAAAACTGATGATCTCCTGGGACCATCTCTGGGGTTTACAGAGAATGGTCTGAAAAAAAAAAAAGAGAAAGTATCCAGTGAGTGGCAGTTGTGTGGAGGAAAATGCCTTGTTGGTGTCAGAGGAGGATGGGCAGACTGGTTCCAGATGATAGAAAGGCAACAGGAACTCCAATAACCCCTCGTTACACCCGAGGTATGCAGAATACCATCTCTGAACGCACAACACATCCAACCTTGAAGCAGATGGGCTACAGCAGCAGACCACACCGGATACCACTCCTGTCAGCAGAAGACCACACCGGGTACCACTCCTGTCAGCAGAAGACCACACCGGGTACCACTCCTGTCAGCAGAAGACCACACCGGGTACCACTCCTGTCAGCAGAAGACCACACCGGATACCACTCCTGTCAGCAGAAGACCACACCGGGTACCACTCCTGTCAGCAGAAGACCACACCGGGTACCACTCCTGTCCGCTAAGAACAGGAAACGGAGGATACAATTCGCACAGGATCACCAATATTGGACAATAAAAGATTGGAAAAACGTTGCTGGGACTGATGAGTCTGGATTTCAGCTGCGACATTCAGATGGTAGGGTCAGAATTTGGCGTAAACAACATGAAAGCATGGATCCATCCTGCCTTGTATCAATGGTTCAGGCTGGTGGTGGTGGTGTCATGGTGTGGGGGATCCATCCTGCCTTGTATCAATAGTTCAGGTTGGTGGTGGTGTCATGGTGTGAGGGATCCATCCTGCCTTGTATCAATGGTTCAGGCTGGTGGTGGTGGTGTCATGGTGTGGGGGATCCATCCTGCCTTGTATCAATAGTTCAGGTTGGTGGTGGTGTCATGGTGTGAGGGATCCATCCTGCCTTGTATCAATGGTTCAGGCTGGTGGTGGTGTCATGGTGTGAGGGATCCATCCTGCCTTGTATCAATGGTTCAGGCTGGTGGTGGTGGTGTCATGGTGTGGTGATCCATCCTGCCTTGTATCAACGGTTCAGGCTGGTGGTGGTGGTGTCATGGTGTGAGGGATCCATCCTGCCTTGTATCAATGGTTCAGGCTGGTGGTGGTGGTGTCATGGTGTGGTGATCCATCCTGCCTTGTATCAACGGTTCAGGCTGGTGGTGGTGGTGTCATGGTGTGGGGGATCCATCCTGCCTTGTATCAATGGTTCAGGCTGGTGGTGTCATGGTGTGGGGGATCCATCCTGTCTTGTATCAATGGTTCAGGTTGGTGGTGGTGTCATGGTGTGATGGATCCATCCTGTCTTGTATCAATGGTTCAGGTTGGTGGTGGTGTCATGGTGTGGTGGATCCATCCTACCTTGTATCAATGGTTCAGGTTGGTGGTGGTGTCATGGTGTGAGGGATCCATCCTGCCTTGTATCAATGGTCCAGGCTGGTGGTGGTGGTGTCATGGTGTGGTGGATCCATCCTGCCTTGTATCAATGGTTCAGGCTGGTGGTGGTGGTGTCATGGTGTGGTGATCCATCCTGCCTTGTATCAACGGTTCAGGCTGGTGGTGGTGTCATGGTGTGGGGGATCCATCCTGCCTTGTATCAATGGTTCAGGCTGGTGGTGGTGTCATGGTGTGGGGGATCCATCCTGCCTTGTATTAATGGTTCAGGCTGGTGGTGGTGGTGTCATGGTGTGGTGGATCCATCCTGCCTTGTATCAATGGTTCAGGCTGGTGGTGGTGTCATGGTGTGGGGGATCCATCCTGCCTTGTATCAATGGTTCAGGCTGGTGGTGGTGGTGTCATGGTGTGGGGGATCCATCCTGCCTTGTATCAATAGTTCAGGCTGGTGGTGGTGTCATGGTGTGGTGGATCCATCCTGCCTTGTATCAATGGTTCAGGCTGGTGGTGGTGTCATGGTGTGGGGGATCCATCCTGCCTTGTATCAATAGTTCAGGCTGGTGGTGGTGTCATGGTGTGGTGGATCCATCCTGCCTTGTATCCACAGTTCAGGCTGGTGGTGGTGGTGTCATGGTGTGGTGGATCCATCCCGCCTTCTATTCATGGTTCAGGCTGGTGGTGGTGGTGTCATGGTGTGGGGGATATATCCTGCCTTGTATCCACAGTTCAGGCTGGTGGTGGTGGTGTCATAGTGTGGGGGAGATTTTCTTGGCACACTTTGGGCCCCTTAGTACCGATTGAGCATCGTTTAAACGCCACGGCCTACCTGAGTATTGTTGCTGACCATGTCCCTCCCTTTATGACTCCAGTGTCCCCATCTTCTGATGGCTCCTTCCGGCAGGATAATGCTCCATGTCACAAAGCTCCAATCATCTCCAACTGGTTTCTGGAACATGACAATGAGGTTCCTGGACTCCGATGGCCTCCACAGTCACCAGATCTCCATCCAATAGAGCACCTTTGGGATGTGGTGGAACGGGAGATTCCCATCATGGATGTGCAGCTGACAAATCTACAGCAACTGTGTGACGTCATCATGTCACTATGGAGCAAAATCTCTGAGGAACGTTTCCAACACCTTGTTGGATCTAGACCAGGAAGAATGAAGGCCAAAGGGGGTCCAACCCGGGACTAGGAAGGTGGACCTAATAAAGTGGCTGGTGAGTGTATTTGTCCTGACAAACTCATTACTCTCCAAATCTGTAGCAGTCCAATGGAAGGGTCAGCACTCTATACATGCTATACGGTCATGGCCACAAATCCCCCCCCCCCCCCCATCTCTGACAGAAAATGCTCCACTCCACCCAGACAACTGCTGCAATGATAAATGTTTCGGCATTGTCATGAAGCAAGATTTTTCACCGTGACCATATACAGCCCTGGCCAAAAGTTTGAGAATGACACAAATTTAAATTTTCACAAAGTCGTCGGCTTCGGTGTGTTCGATGTTTAGATGTTCCTCTGGTATATGAGGTAGAAGGACGAGCATCTCATACGTGTCGGAGGCTTTCATTGACATGACATGTATGCAGAGTCCATATTTGCAGTGTTGACCCATCTTTGTGAAGACCTCTGCGATTCCCCCAGCATGCTGTCCAACTTCTGGGCCACATCCTGACTGATGGCCGCCCATTCTTCCATCATCAAGGCTTGGAGTTGGTCAGAATTTGTGGGGTTTTTTGTTCTCCCACCTCTTGAGGATTGACCACAAGTTCCCAATGGGATGAAGGTCTGGGTGGTTTCCTGGCCACGGACCCCAAACTTTTGAGGTTTTGTTCCCCAAGACACTTAGTTATGACTTTTGCCTTCTGGCAAGGGGATACATCATGGTGGAGAAGGCGATGTTCCTCACCAAACGGTTCTTGGATGGTTGGGAGAAGTTGCTCTCGGAGGAGGTTTTTGGACCCGTCTTTATTCATGGCGGTGATCTCAGGCAGAATTGTGGGTGAGCTCCACTCCCTTGGCTGAGAAGTGACCCCACACATGAATGGTCTCAGGATGATTTCCTGTTGGCATGACACCGGACTGATGGAGCGCCCACCTCTTCTTTCTCCGGACAAGGTTTTTCTAGATGCCCCAAACAATCGGAAAGGGGATCCATCAGAGAAAATGACTCCCATCCCCCCCCCCCCCCCCGTCCTCAGCCGTCCAATCCCTGGTCCTTTAGCAGAATATCAGTCTGTCCCGGATGGTTTTCATGGAGGGAAGTGGCTTCTTTGCTGCCCTTCCTGACACCAGGCCGTCCTCCGAACGTCTCCTCATTGTGTGCCGATACATCACACCTGCCTGCTGCCATTCCTGAGCAAGCTCTGCCCTGGTGGTGCCGATCCCGCAGCTGAATCCACTTTAGGAGACGGTCCTTGGTCTTACCGGACTTTCTTGGGCGCCCTGAAGCCGTCTTCACAACCATTGAACCGCTCTCCTCGGAGTTCTGGATGATCCAATAAATGGTGGACTTAGCGGCATCCAGAAAGTATTCCCAGAGCTTCACTTTTACATTTTTTTTTTTATGTTACGGCCTTATTCCAAAATGGATTCAATTCCTTTCTTTTCTCCACATTCTACAACCAATCCCCCATAATGACAACGGGAAAGAAGTTTGTTTGAAATCTTTGCATTATTAAAAATAAAAAATGACCCCCCCCATGTATGTAAGTATTCCCAGCCCCCCCTCCCCCCATGTATGTAAGTATTCCCAGCCCCCCCTCCCCCCATGTATGTAAGTATTCCCAGCCCCCCCCCTCCCCCCATGTATGTAAGTATTCCCAGCCTTTGCCATGACACTCAAAATTTAGCTCTGGTGCATCCTGTTCCCACTAATCATCCTTGAGATGTTTCCACAACTTGATTAGAGTCCACCTGTGGGACGTTCGGTGGATTGGAGTCCACCTGTGGGAAGTTCAGTTGATTGGAGTCCACCTGTGGAACATTCAGTGGATTGGAGTCCACCTGTGGGTCATTCAGTGGATTGGAGTCCACCTGTGGGAAGTTCAGTTGATTGGAGTCCACCTGTGGGAAGTTCAGTTGATTGGAGTCCACCTGTGGGACATTCAGTGGATTGGAGTCCACCTGTGGGACATTCAGTGGATTGGAGTCCACCTGTGGAACATTCAGTGGATTGGAGTCCACCTGTGGGACATTCAGTGGATTGGAGTCCACCTGTGGGACATTCAGTGGATTGGAGTCCACCTGTGGGACGTTCAGTGGATTGGAGTCCACCTGTGGGATGTTCAGTTGATTGGAGTCCACCTGTGGGACATTCAGTGGATTGGAGTCCACCTGTGGAACATTCAGTGGATTGGAGTCCACCTGTGGGAAGTTCAGTTGATTGGAGTCCACCTGTGGGACATTCAGTGGATTGGAGTCCACCTGTGGAACATTCAGTGGATTGGAGTCCACCTGTGGAACATTCAGTGGATTGGAGTCCACCTGTGGAACATTCAGTGGATTGGAGTCCACCTGTGGAACATTCAGTGGATTGGAGTCCACCTGTGGAACATTCAGTGGATTGGAGTCCACCTGTGGAACATTCAGTGGATTGGAGTCCACCTGTGGAACATTCAGTGGATTGGAGTCCACCTGTGGAACATTCAGTGGATTGGATTCCACCTGTGGGAAGTTAAGTTGATTGGAGTCCACCTGTGGGAAGTTCAGTGGATTGAAGTCCACCTGCGGGACCTTCAGTGGATTGGAGTCCACCTGCGGGACCTTCAGTGGATTGGAGTCCACCTGCGGGACCTTCAGTGGATTGGAGTCCACCTGCGGGACCTTCAGTGGATTGGAGTCCACCTGCGGGACCTTCAGTGGATTGGAGTCCACCTGCGGGACGTTCAGTGGATTGGAGTCCACCTGCGGGACGTTCAATGGATTGGAGTCCACCTGCGGGACGTTCAGTGGATTGGAGTCCACCTGCGGGACGTTCAGTGGATTGGAGTCCACCTGCGGGACGTTCAGTGGATTGGAGTCCACCTGCGGGACGTTCAGTGGATTGGAGTCCACCTGCGGGACGTTCAGTGGATTGAGGTCCACCTGTGGGACGTTCAGTTGATTGGCCATGATCAGGAAAGGCATACACCTGTCTATAGAAGGTCCCACAGGTCACATGTCAGAGCACAAACCAAGCTATGGAGTCCAAGGAATTGTCTGTAGACCTCCGAGACAGGATTGTATGAAGGCACAGATCGGGGGAAGGGTCCAGAAACATTTCTGCAGCATTGAAGGACCCAATGAGCTCAGTGGCCTCCATCATCCATAAATGGAAGAAGTTTGGAACCACCAGGAATCTTCCTAGAGCGAGCCGCCCCGCCACAATGAGCGATGGAGGGAGAAGGGCCTTAGCCAGGGAGGTAACCAAGCACCCGATGGTCACTCTGAAAGAGCTCCAGCATTTCTCTGTGGAGAGAGGAGAACCTTCCAGAAGAACAGCCATCTCTGCAGCACTCCACCAATCAGGCCTGTATGGCAGAGCGCCCAGACGGAAGCCACTCCTCAGGAAAAGGAAAATGGCAGCCCACCTGGAGTTTGCCAAAAGGCACCTGAGAGACTCTCAGACCATGAGAAACAAAACTCTCTGGTCTGATGGAACCAAGATTGAATTCTTTGGCCTGAATGCCAAGCGTCATGTCTGGAGGAAACCAATCACCACTCACCACCTGGCCCATACCATCCCTACTGTGAAGCATGGTGGTGGCAGCATCATGTGGGGATGGAACTGGGAGACTAGTCAGGATGGAAGGAAAGATGAATGCAGCAATGTACAGACATCCTGGATGAGAACCTGTTCCGGAGCGCTCTGGACCTCAGACTGGGGTGACGGTTCATCTACCAGCAGGACAACGACCCTCAGCATACGGCCCACGTCACAGAGGAGTGGCTACGGGGCAACGATGGGAATGTCCTGGAGTGGCCCAGCCAGAGCCCAGACTTGAACATCTCTGGAGAGATCTGACAATGGCTGTGTACCGACCCCCCCCCCCCCCATCCAACCTGATGGAGCTGAGAGGTCCTCCACAGAAGAACGGGAGAAATCGCCCAAAATAGGTGTCCAGGCTTGTAGCATCGTCCCCAGAACGACTGGAGGCCGGAATGGGGGCTAAAGGGGCGTCAACCAAGGATGGGGCGGGGGCTGGGAATACTTATGTACGGGGGGGGGGCTGGGAATACTTATGTACATGGGGGGGGCTGGGAATACTTATGTACATGGGGGGGGAGCTGGGAATACTTATGTACGGGGGGGGGGGGGCTGGGAATACTTATGTACGGGGGGGCTGGGAATACTTATGTACGGGGGGGAATACTTATGTACATGGGGGGGAATACTTATGTACATGGGGGGGGAATACTTATGTACATGGGGGGGGAATACTTATGTACATGGGGGGGATACTTACAGTCGCAAGAAAAAGTATGTGAACCCCTTGGGATTACGTGGAGTTTTGCATGAATTGGGCATAAAATGTGCTCTGAACGTCATCTAAGTCACAACAATAGAAGAACACAGTCTGCTGAACATAATACTACACAAACATTAGATGTTGCCATGGTTTAATTGCACATAACATGTAAACATTCACAGTGCAGGGAGGAAAAAGTATGTGAGTACCCTAGGTTAATGACTTATCCCAGAGCTAATTGGAGCCAGGAGTGAGCCAACCTTGACTCCAATCAGTGGGATGATATTGGATGTGTTGCTGACACCTGTTTTGGGTTTACTGGTTTCAAGAAGCACTGTCTGATGTGAACCATGCCTCGCAGAAAAGAGCTCTCAGAAGACCTACCATCAAGAATTGTTGACTTGCATGAAGCTGGAAAGGGTTACAAAAGTATCTCCTTGAGCCTTGATGTTCCTGTGTCCACGGTAAGACAGACTGTCTACAAATGGAGAAAGTTTAGCACTGTTGCTACTCTCCCTAGGTGTGGTCGTCCTGTAAAAATGACTGCAAGAGCACAGCGCAGAATGCTGCATGAGGTAAAGAAGAATCCCAGAGTGTCAGCTAAAGACCTACAGAAATCTCTGGCACATGCTAACATTTTTGTTGACACATCTACAATCAGGAAAACATTAAACAAGAATGGAGTACATGGGGAGGACACCACGGAGGAAGCCATTGCTGGCCAAAAAGAAGATTGCAGCACGTTTGAAGTTTGCAAAAGAGCACCTGGATGTTCCACAGCACTACTGGCAAAATATACTGTGGACAGATGACACCAAGATTGAGTTGTTTGGGAAGAACACACAACACTATGTGTGGAGAAAAAAAGGCCCAGCACACCAACATCAAAACCTCATCCCCACTGTGAAACATGGCGGAGGGAGCATCATGGTTTGGGGCTGCTTTGCTGCCTCAGGGCCTGGACGGATTGTTGTCATTGATGGGAAAATGAATTCCAGAGTTTATCAAGACATTTTGCAGGAAAACATACGACCATCTGTCCGCCAACTGAAGCTCCGCAGAGGATGGGTGATGCAACAGGACAATGACCCAAAGCATACAAGTCATTCAACAAAACAATGGCTGCAACAGCACAGAATACGCCTTCTGGAGTGGCCCAGTCAGAGTCCTGACCTCAACCCATTGAAATGCTGTGGCATGACCTTAAGAGAGCGATTCACACCAGACATCCCAAGAATATTGCTACACTGAAACAGTTTTTGTGAAGAGGAGTGGTCCAAAATGACTCCAGATCGTTGTGCAGGTCTGATCTGCAACTACAGGAAACGTTTGGTTGAGGTTATTGCTGCCAAAGGAGGGTCAACCAGTTATTAAGTCCAAAGGTTCACATACTTTTTCCTCCCTGCACTGTGAATATTTACATGTTATGTGCAATTAAACCATGGCAACATCTAATGTTTGTGTAGTATTATGTTCAGCAGACTGTGTTCTTCTATTGTTGTGACTTAGATGACGTTCAGAGCACATTTTATGCCCAATTCATGCAAAACTCCACGTAATCCAAAGGGGTTCACATACTTTTTCTTGCAACTGTATGTACATGGGGGGGGCTGGGAATACTTATGTACATGGGGGGGGGCTGGGAAGACTTATGTACGGGGGGGGGACGACGACTGGGAAGACTTATGTACGGGGGGGCTGGGAATACTTATGTACATGGGGGGGGGGATACTTATGTACAATGGGGGGGGGACTGGGAATACTTATGTACATGGGGGGGGGATACTTATGTACATGGGGGGGGGACTGTTAATACTTATGTACATGGATGGGGGGCTGGGAATACTTATGTACATGGATGGGGGGCTGGGAATACTTATGTACATGGGGGGGGGGAATACTTATGTACATGGGGGGGCTGGGAATACTTATGTATGGGGGGGGGGGCTGGGAATACTTATGTACATGGGGGGGGGGCTGGGAATACGTATGTACATGGGGGGGGGACTGGGAATACTTATGTACGGGGGGGGGGGGGGAGCTGGGAATACTTATTACTTTTGTACATGGGGGGGGGGACTGGGAATACTTATTACTTATGTACATGGGGGGGGGCTGGGAATACTTATGTACATGGGGGGGGGGGACTGGGAATACTTATGTACGGGGGGGGGGAGCTGGGAATACTTATTACTTTTGTACATGGGGGGGGGACTGGGAATACTTATTACTTATGTACATGGGGGGGGGGCTGGGAATACTTATGTACGGGGGGGGGACTTATTACTTATGTACATGGGGGGGGACTAGGAATACTTATGTACGGGGGGGGGGACTTATTACTTATGTACATGGGGGGGGGGGGCTGGGAATACTTATGTACATGGGGGGGGGTTGTTTTTTTATTCTTTATACGTTGCAATGATTTCAAAACGATCTTCTCTCCGATGTCATTATGGGGGATTGTTTGCAGGATGTGGAGGGAAAACGTGGGAATAGCGGAGACATCCGACCAATGGGAATACTTTCTGGACGCGCTGTATGAATTTTTTTTTATTCATTCTATTCTATTCCTTTATTTTCTATTCTATTTTATTCTATTATTTTAAATAGAAATAGAAAAGAATAAAAATAATAGAAAAGAATAAAACAGAAAATAATAGAATAGAATAGAATAAAATAGAAAATTAAATAATAGAACAAAATAGAATAGAAAAGAATACAACAGAATAGAGTAAAATAGATATTAAAATAATAGAATAGAAAATTAAAAAAAATAGAATAGAATAACATAGAACGTTAAATAATAGAACAATAGAAAATAGAGGAATAGAAAAGAATAAAACAGAAAATAATAGAATAGAATAAAATAGAATTGCATTAGAAAATCTGAATTTTGAATAGAATAGGACCAACTACTCCTCACAATGAATTTGTATCGATTTGATATTTTCAGTTTGAATTTGATTCGATGCGATTCGAATATTTCATCTCAATTGGAAAAATCTGAATCTGGTCAAAATCGAATAAATGAAACAAAAATCAGCAGCGCGATGAATGGATCCGAAACGAAGCGATTCTCCTTCCAGGGATGACAAAACGATCGTCTTAAATGTTCGATGAGATTTGGCTGCTCAGCTGTTTCGGTCATCCGATCGCCTTCTCCCCGACGCGTTTGTTTGTTGTGCATCGGTCAGCGATCCTATCGATGGGCCGCGCTGCGTGAATTCGCTCTTTGCCGCGTTTCAGCCGCGTGCGGTTATTTTTTGCTCGCGGTTATTTTTTGCGCTTGCCACGTTTCGGACGACTTTAGCCACGAATGGCGCAGTACATGCGATGGGCAGTCTTCTAAATGTGCAAAAATTGCGCGTATTTGCGCCCGTCTACCGAACGCACAGGGAAGATCCGCGCACAGCGCCCCCCGCCGGGATCTCTCGTAAGCTCCGCCCACGGAAGTCGCTCTTGCGATCTCTATAATGAGATCGTTCCTCAGAGCCGAACTGCAGAGACGCCGGCTGAACGCACATCCTGCAGGGAATGGGGCCCCTTCCTGTCCATTGGGGCCCCTTCGTTTGT